TGACGTTGCTGTTGCTGTTGTCGTCGCTCAATGCGTTCATGTTAGACCTCGAATCGTCATCGCCAACTGAAAATTTTACCAATTTCTTTCTTCCTCTCTTGGATGGTTTTGCTGGTTCACCCCCTGTTTGTTCGTTCGTTCGTTCGTTTGTTTGTTCGTATGTTTGTTCGTTTAGTCAATAATTTTTTATTCTTTCATTCATTCATTCGTTCGCTTGTCCAATCAGTTAATCATCATTCATTCATCCATTCTTTTATATCTATCTTATCATCCATTTATTTATTCATTCATCTATTCATCCATCCATCTATTTGGTCTTTCTGTCAATTACCCATCCATCCATCCATCCATCCATTTATCTATCCATTTATCCATCTATTTATCCATCCATTTATCCATCCGTTTATCCATCCGTCCATCCGTCCATCCATCCATCCATCCATCCATCCATCCATCCATCCATCCATCCATTCATCCATCAGCAATATGAACTGACCAATAAGATTAGAGGTAGCAGCACCAATAGTTGAAACACTCTCGTTTTCAACGGCGTCAAGAGCGGCTTCTTGTGTGGCCTGGATGTTCGCTTCCAAGGTTTCCAACGTTGTAGCTTGCTGTGGGTGTGTGTGTGTTTGTGTGGGTGTGTGTGTTTGTATGTGTATGTGTATGTGTGTGTATGTGTGGGTGTGTTTGTGTGGGTGTGTTTGTGTGGGTGTGTATGTGTTTGTGTGGGTGTGCGAGTTTGTGTGTGTTCTTAAGCAAGATATGACATTTGAACGTTTTCGTAAAAATGCTAGTGTGCGTGTTTTAGTGTTAGTGTGTGTGTGTGTGTGAGAGAGAGAGAGAGAGAGAGAGAGAGAGAGAAAGAGAGAGAGAGAGACAGCATCATCATCGTACCATCATCATCATCATCATCATCGTCATCATCATCGTCATCAACCTCAATGAGTGCAGCTTTGCATGTTTGCAATATGACATCAGCAGTTTTGCTCAGCGGATTAATTGGACCATTATATCTTTTATATCGTAATTTTAATAGTTATTATTATTATTATTATTATTTGCTATTATTATTATAATCATAATAATTATTATTATTTTTTATTATTACCATTATTACAACTACTACTACTAATTTTGCTCAGCGGATTAATTGGACCATTATATCTTTTATATTGTAATTTTAATAGTTATTATTATTATTATTATTATTTGCTATTATTATTATAATCATAATTATTATTATTTTTTATTATTATCATTATTACAACTACTACTACTAATTTTGCTCAGCGGATTAATTGGACCATTATATCTTTTATATTGTAATTTTAATAGTTATTATTATTATTATTATTATTTGCTATTATTATTATAATCATAATTATTATTATTATTTTTTATTATTATCATTATTACAACTACTACTACTAATTTTGCTCAGCGGATTAATTGGACCATTATATCTTTTATATTGTAATTTTAATAGTTATTATTATTATTATTATTATTTGCTATTATTATTATAATCATAATTATTATTATTATTTTTTATTATTATCATTATTACAACTACTACTACTAATTTTGCTCAGCGGATTAATTGGACCATTATATCTTTTATATTGTAATTTTAATAGTTATTATTATTATTATTATTATTTGCTATTATTATTATAATCATAATAATTATTATTATTTTTTATTATTACCATTATTACAACTACTAATACTAGTTTTGCTCAGCGGATTAATTGGACCATTATATCTTTTATATTGTAATTATAATAGTTATTATTTTCATTATTATTATTATTTGTTATTATTATTTTGTTGTTATTATTATTATTACAACTACTACTACTACTACAATCCATACCTCAGGCAGTTGTTTACTAGAAGTTCGACGTCACTCAGAAACTCTTTGTGGCTGCGATATTGGTGGTCGGTTGCTTTCTGTGTGAGATAGTGAGTGAGTGTGTGTGTGTGTAGTGTGTGTGTATGTGTGTGTGTTTGTGTGAAAGAGAGAAAGAGAAAGAAAGAAGAGAGAGGAAGAGAAGGGGATTGTAAAAAAAAAGTATATATCTATATCCATCTATGTAGTTTGTAAGAGACGGCAAGAAACTAAGGAAGGTGCAGAGCAGAATGAGAGAGAGAGAGAGAGAGAGGAGAGAGAGAGATAGGAGAGAGAGAAAAACAGCCAACAAAAGAGATAGAGAAAGATATTATGTATGGCGCATATTTGTGTGAGGTTAGTTTTTTGTAGGAGTGTGCGTTTCAACAATAACTACAACGACACAAAAAACAAGTATTACTACCACTACTACTACTACTACTACTACTATTACTACTACTACTACTACTACTACCACTACTACCCTTACTACTACTACTACTACTACTACTACTACTACTACTACTACTACTACTACTTTTACCACTACTACTACTACCATTACTACTACTACTACCACCACCACTACTACTACTGCTACCACTAATGCTGCTGCTGCGGCTACTTCTACTACTACTACTACTGCCTCTACTAACTTTATGCATGGTAGAAAGATCGATTGGTTGCTTGATGACGTCATAGTAATCCTTGTACTGCTTCTTGTTCACCGGTGTGTGGAACTGTACGGACTGCAAGTAAACAACAACAATAACAACAACAACAACAATAATAATAATAATAACAATAATACTAATAATAACCCCTTCTATAGTTTTCAATCGATCTTCGATGATGCCCGTGATGATGAAACTTAAGGACGCCATGTCGTCATCATCCAACAATGGATTGATTGCCTTCTCCAGTCTAGCCAGCTTATCCTCTTTCTGAGTGAGTGAGTGAGTGAGTGAGTGAGTGAGTGAGTGAGTGAGTGAGTGAGTGAGTGAGTGAGTGAGTGAGTGAGTGAGCCATCATCATTTACCTCACTAATTCTTTGCAAACAATAGTCGAGCATTTTCTGTGCTGAAGCTGTCAGTGGATGTTTGGCGCCATTGTAGATCTCACAGTTCCTCACTATTTGATTGACGTCTGCTAGGAATGCCTCGCGCGATTGATACTTCCGACTTCGAATATTCTAGAATGAAAAGGGGATTGATGGATTCAACAAACCGACTAATCAATCATTCAACCTATAAGGTTTAAAAAAACCACCCATTCAATTAATAATACCATTAATTCAATCAACCAGCCAACCAACCAACAAGCCAACCAACCAGCCATCCAACCAACCAACCAACCAACCAAGCAATGACAAACTGACCTCTCGTATTGTCTGCAAGTCAGTCGGCTTCTTAATGATCTTGTAATAATCTGGAACCTTCTTAACGTTGACCGGAAATAGGAACTGAGTTGATATTGGAAGTTCCCTCATCTCATTCAGGATGACTTCCAGGATGGTGGACAAGGTCACCACGGGGTCAGCCCGTCGTCGGTTCAGCAGTTTCTTCGGTTTCTGCCGGTGAGGTGTTGATGTGAATTTGCATAAATTTGCATACAGACCTGCACACGCTCGTGTAAACTTGTACAAAGTTATACTTGATTGCACGAATTTTTATGAATTCATATAAGCTTTTGTAAAAAAAAGCATTAATTAACGTTGATTAACTACTAACAGTAATTAGCTTAATTTTCATAATTTTAAAAGTTCAACGAGCGAACGAACCTTGAGATAATCTTCCTGCAGATTAGCCGAACTGACCTTTTTCTTCTTCTCCTCTTTGAGCATTTTCGGGATCTTCAACATCAACGACTTCTTCTTTATCTCTTCAGCTCTTCATTTTTGAAAAATTGAACAAAAAATGTCAATTAGTTAGAGAAGTTGCAAAGGTTGGAAAAATAAATGAGGCACAACAACAACAACAACAACAACAACAACAACAGCAACAGCAACAGCAACAGCAACAACAACAACAACAACAACAACAGCTCCTACAACCTTTTAACGATATTCTTCGAGAGAATAACTCGAGTGTCTTCAATATTCACCAGTTCATCATCTACCAAATCCTCCTTCTCCAGCTGTTCCTGCTGCTCTTCCGACATGGCCACATTCCCGGCGATCCCAGAGGGAGCCACGGATTTCAGAAACATCGGGCATTCCTTGTTCGTCCGCATGTGCCCGGATTGTCCACACGCTCCACATTTTAGCTGAGCAACAATTTGTTCGTCGGTCGATTGGTAGGTTGGTTGATTGATTGGTTGATTGGTTGGTTGGTTGGTTTTGGGTTGGACGATGAATTGAAAGGGCGTATAATATATGTTATAATTTGTTTTCGTTGGCTGGCTGGTTTGTATGTTTGCTTGTTGTTGGTCGATTGAATGACTAATTGAATAATTGATTTATTAATTGATTAATTAATTGGTTAATTAATTGATTGGATAATTGATTGATTGGCTAATTGATTGATTAATTGACTGACTGATCAGAACAACGGCAAAAACAAATACAAACCTTCTGCGATTTAACATTCAACTTATCCTCTGTCTTCGTTTTTCTCTTGGCAGGTTGGTCCCCATTACTATTATTATTATCATAATTAATATAATTACTATTATAATTATTATTATTACTACTATAATTATTATTATTATTGTTATTGTTTGGGGAGGTGGCCATCACGTCCACCGCCGATCCTGGGGTATCCATTCGTTTCAAACGACGTAGCTGTTCCTGGATTCTATGGAGAGAGGAAAAATACAAAATACTACTACTACTACTACTACTACTACTAATAATAATAATAATAATAATAATAATAATAATAATAATAATAATAATAATGATAAGAACATCCTTTTATTTTCTAACTCCAAGTGCCAAATATCAATATAATAATAATAATAATAAAAATAATAACAATAATAATAATAATAAAAATAATAATAATGGCGTTATTATTATTATTATTGTTGTTATTCACCTCTTTTTCTCTCTCTTCATTTCATCCTTTTGATAGTCATCCAATAATGAAAACTGCTGACTGCAACG